TGGGGACTTGTACATGTGAACTTACATGGGGACTTGTACATGTGAACTTACATGGGGACTTGTACATGTGAACTTACATGGGGACTTGTACATGTGAACTTACATGGGGACTTGTACATGTGAACTTACATGGGGACTTGTACATGTGAACTTACATGGGGACTTGTACATGTGAACTTACATGGGGACTTGTACATGTGAACTTACATGGGGACTTGTACATGTGAACTTACATGGGGACTTGTACATGTGAACTTACATGGGGACTTGTACATGTGAACTTACATGGGGACTTGTACATGTGAACTTACATGGGGACTTGTACATGTGAACTTACATGGGGACTTGTACATGTGAACTTACATGGGGACTTGTACATGTGAACTTACATGGGGACTTGTACATGTGAACTTACATGGGGACTTGTACATGTGAACTTACATGGGGACTTGTACATGTGAACTTACATGGGGACTTGTACATGTGAACTTACATGGGGACTTGTACATGTGAACTTACATGGGGACTTGTACATGTGAACTTACATGGGGACTTGTACATGTGAACTTACATGGGGACTTGTACATGTGAACTTACATGGGGACTTGTACATGTGAACTTACATGGGGACTTGTACATGTGAACTTACATGGGGACTTGTACATGTGAACTTACATGGGGACTTGTACATGTGAACTTACATGGGGACTTGTACATGTGAACTTACATGGGGACTTGTACATGTGAACTTACATGGGGACTTGTACATGTGAACTTACATGGGGACTTGTACATGTGAACTTACATGGGGACTTGTACATGTGAACTTACATGGGGACTTGTACATGTGAACTTACATGGGGACTTGTACATGTGAACTTACATGGGGACTTGTACATGTGAACTTACATGGGGACTTGTACATGTGAACTTACATGGGGACTTGTACATGTGAACTTACATGGGGACTTGTACATGTGAACTTACATGGGGACTTGTACATGTGAACTTACATGGGGACTTGTACATGTGAACTTACATGGGGACTTGTACATGTGAACTTACATGGGGACTTGTACATGTGAACTTACATGGGGACTTGTACATGTGAACTTACATGGGGACTTGTACATGTGAACTTACATGGGGACTTGTACATGTGAACTTACATGGGGACTTGTACATGTGAACTTACATGGGGACTTGTACATGTGAACTTACATGGGGACTTGTACATGTGAACTTACATGGGGACTTGTACATGTGAACTTACATGGGGACTTGTACATGTGAACTTACATGGGGACTTGTACATGTGAACTTACATGGGGACTTGTACATGTGAACTTACATGGGGACTTGTACATGTGAACTTACATGGGGACTTGTACATGTGAACTTACATGGGGACTTGTACATGTGAACTTACATGGGGACTTGTACATGTGAACTTACATGGGGACTTGTACATGTGAACTTACATGGGGACTTGTACATGTGAACTTACATGGGGACTTGTACATGTGAACTTACATGGGGACTTGTACATGTGAACTTACATGGGGACTTGTACATGTGAACTTACATGGGGACTTGTACATGTGAACTTACATGGGGACTTGTACATGTGAACTTACATGGGGACTTGTACATGTGAACTTACATGGGGACTTGTACATGTGAACTTACATGGGGACTTGTACATGTGAACTTACATGGGGACTTGTACATGTGAACTTACATGGGGACTTGTACATGTGAACTTACATGGGGACTTGTACATGTGAACTTACATGGGGACTTGTACATGTGAACTTACATGGGGACTTGTACATGTGAACTTACATGGGGACTTGTACATGTGAACTTACACGGGGACTTGTACATGTGAACTTACATGGGGACTTGTACATGTGAACTTACACGGGGACTTGTACATGTGAACTTACATGGGGACTTGTACATGTGAACTTACACGGGGACTTGTACATGTGAACTTACATGGGGACTTGTACATGTGAACTTACACGGGGACTTGTACATGTGAACTTACATGGGGACTTGTACATGTGAACTTACACGGGGACTTGTACATGTGAACTTACATGGGGACTTGTACATGTGAACTTACACGGGGACTTGTACATGTGAACTTACATGGGGACTTGTACATGTGAACTTACACGGGGACTTGTACATGTGAACTTACATGGGGACTTGTACATGTGAACTTACACGGGGACTTGTACATGTGAACTTACATGGGGACTTGTACATGTGAACTTACACGGGGACTTGTACATGTGAACTTACATGGGGACTTGTACATGTGAACTTACATGGGGACTTGTACATGTGAACTTACATGGGGACGTGTACATGTGAACTTACACGGGGGACGTGTACATATGAACATACACGGGGACTTATACATGTGCACTTACACGGGGACTTGTACATGTGAACTTACATGGGGACGTGTACATGTGAACTTACATAGGGACGTGCACATGTGAACTTACATGGGGACTTGTACATATGAACATACACGGGGACTTGTACAGGTGAAGATACACGGGGGACTTGTACAGATGAACATTCACGGGGACTTGTACAGATGAACATACACGGGGACTTGTACAGATGAACATACACGGGGACTTGTACAGTAGAATCTACACGGGGGACTTATACAGATGAACATACACGGGGACTTGTACAGATGAACATACACGTGGACTTATACAGAAGAACATGCACGGGGACTTGTACATATGAACATACACGGGGACTTGTACAGGTGAACATACACGGGTGACTTGTACAGATGAACATTCACGGGGACTTGTACAGATGAACATACATGGGGACTTGTACAGTAGAATCTACACGGGGGACTTGTACAGATGAACATACACGGGGACTTGTACAGATGAACACACATGGGGACTTGTACAGTAGAATCTACACGGGGGACTTGTACAGATGAACATGCACGGGGACTTGTACATATGAACATACTCGGGGACTTGTACAGGTGAACATTCACAGGGACTTGTACAGATGAACATACACGGGGACTTGTACAGATGAACATACACGGGGACTTGTACATATGAACATACACGTGGACTTGTACAGATGAACATACACGTGGACTTGTACAGATGAACATACACGTGGACTTGTACAGATAAACATACACGGGGACTTGTACAGATGAACATCCACGTGAACTTGTACAGATGAACATACACGGGGACTTGTTCAGATGAACATACACGGGGACTTGTACAGATGAACATACACGTGGACTTGTACAGA